GATCTTCATGTTAGATAAAGCTTTACAATGCAGTTTGATGACATATAATATATTACATATAATATGTTTTTATTTCAGGAAGTTGCTGTTAAGTTGGAGAACATGCGAGCCCGACATCCACAGCTTTTATATGAATCAAAGCTGTACAAAATATTACATGGTGGTATAGGAATACCACACATACGTTGGTAATTATCATATTTAAGGCCCCTGAATAGTCGCGACGGCCATGTTGGAATCGTGACGTCAGAAGCGAGGAATAACACGTTAATTTACGCACGATGCCATTTGTAAACAGAGACAATTTGGATGAAATTAAACGATGGGTTCGCTTTAAAACACTTGTAAAAATCGATGAAAACTGTCCTTTTCTCCCTTGATAGTCAGTAAATGGTCGTAAAAGACTCGTAAAGTGAGGCTATATTCTGGCAGAAACACATGGTTTAACAGCTGTTGAAACGAGTGAAATATACACTTTTACGTATAAAATTTCAAGATAACTTTAGTTTTTATCGAAAATTAAGACTTTGATAAGTACGAGACAAGTCACATTTTCACAATTCAGCAAATAATGAAATGGCACCGTGCACAAATTTCGTCGTCAAAACTTGTCAAAATGTCACTTTTCCACACCTATAAGTTCGGCCATTTATCGTGGTGTGGCGCTGTAACACACATATAAGCACGATTCCATGTCCGTGTGCTCGCAGGCGAGCACACCATGGGCTTGTGCTTAAGTGTGTGGCTACCGATTTTGCCAGACCGCCGTCTGATACTGTGTCGCCACCGTCAACGCAGAGTTCTTGGCTGATAAGTCAGGAGCCTTAATTCTTTGCTTATGTATTATATTTAGTTGTTATATTCATCATGTAATAATAAAATAATTTGTTAATAAATTATTACAATAAGATTTATATAAGCTGGAATTATACAATGAGATTATATTAATTGAAAGTTAGTATTAGAATCAGACAGTCAACTGATAAGAATTTTCCTATCTTTAGGTATGGTCAAGAACGTGAATATAATGTTCTTGTTATGGATCTTCTTGGGCCATCTCTGGAAGACCTTTTCACTTTCTGTTCAAGAAGGTTTACAATCAAGACAGTCTTAATGTTGGCAGATCAGATGATTGGTAGGATTGAGTATGTTCATTGCAAACATTTCATCCACAGAGATATAAAACCAGATAATTTTTTAATGGGGATTGGGCGACATTGTAACAAGGTACGCATTTTAATATTTCGTAATTTCTTCAATATAATATATCAGAACTAAAATATCATACACCAATACTAAATTACGGAATGCTAAATTATATTTCAGTTATTCCTCATCGATTTTGGATTGGCTAAAAAGTATAGGGATAGTCGCACAAGACTGCATATAATATATCGAGAAGATAAAAATTTAACAGGTACTGCGAGGTATGCTTCTATCAATGCGCATCTTGGAATTGAACAAAGTCGTCGCGACGACATGGAATCACTCGGCTATGTTCTTATGTACTTTAATCGAGGATCGTTACCGTGGCAAGGTCTCAAAGCTGCGACGAAGAAGCAGAAATATGAGAAAATTAGTGAGAAAAAAATGTCCACGCCAGTAGAAGTCTTATGCAAGGTATCCTGAAGAACTTTTTCTTATTGTTTTTGTGTCATTACATGTACATCCTTGATACAAAAATTACCATTTTTCAGGGATTTCCTGCCGAATTTGCAATGTATTTAAATTATACGCGAGGTCTACGCTTTGAAGAAAGCCCGGACTACATGTATTTACGCCAACTTTTCCGTATACTTTTCCGTACATTGAATCACCAATATGATTACACATTTGATTGGACGATGTTGAAGCAAAAGGCAGCAAGTAGTAATATTAGCGGTGGAGTATCAATAGCTGGACCAGGTCTCTCTCAAGGTGCTCAAGGTGCCCAAGGGCAAGGACAAGGCCAAGGTCAAGCACCTACTCAGGCCACCGCTCAATCAGGTGCAATGAAAATTTTTGGAATTAATTTTTCGCAGCATGTCCATGTATAGTTTATAGATTCCTTTAACAATTAATGTACAGCTCATGTCGTCATTTCATATTCAGCCATAACAATCATAATGGGGTTATACTCTAAATTATTGAAACTTCCCAAACTACTATTCTGTATCACCTGTCGTTAACTCGGAATTTTTTGGTTATGTTGTTTATATAAATTATCATTTTTTAACAGCCAATTTCAACCTTAAAAGATGGTTGGAGTCCTCCACAAAACTCAACATATCGATTGGCACAAATCATTCTTCCAAGAAGCAATAACTCTGGAGCTTCTTAAATGCTTTTTCCTTCTTCTCCTATGAGAATATTGGCCCGGCAAAAAATTTTCGGAGAAAAGATTTTCTTTACTATTTACTAATAATAATGACTGAAACACTAATGGAAATATAAGTATGCTTATATGCTAATTAACATTCACTTAACGATTAATTCTGTCTCATAATGAATATGAGAATCTATGCCAAAATTTTCTCTTACATTAAAATTTTTCAAAGATATTTACGGAAACTCAAATATTTCTCATCTTTTTATGGAGACTTACGTTACTTTTCTTTTAACATTCTTATTTTTATGGCATTTTCATAATTAAATTCTTCAAATCCTGTGTGAGTTTGTTTTTTGAAAATATTGTTGAATGATTTAAAGTACAATGTATCTAAATTTAATATAATATTAAATGTTTTTTTTTTTAGTATTTTGTATGCATTAAACTTACAGGATTTGTGTTTATTATATCTTTCCGTCTATCATTAGTTTAATTAGTAAACTTATATTTCAATATCTTCTACTGAATTTTAAATCAGTAGTGGTAATGTTTCTTGCGTATAATTGTATGCAAGAAATTGTATGAAAAGTAAAAAAATAAATAACACATTTGTACATTGTATTATCATATAATACAAACAACAAGCGGAGTAACGTCAATATAAAGGGAAAATTACATTTGCATTATTCACAAACATGTTATCTATAGCAGAATTAAAGAAAAATATGATAATTATTTTCTATAATTTCAAAATCGGTTTTATTTGTTCCAGGAGCGCGCTAAGACTATAACTCTTCATTGTAGCAACAATCTTGATTGCGATCACTAAAGTGTTTCAAAGTGAGGTACCGAATTTCTTACAGAAGTTATCATTCGAAGAGTCATATCAGTCAACACTCTAATTTCATGCAAAGAGAGAACGTGATGTAAACTACAAATGCTAGCATTCGCGTATATGCGACAAGAGGAGCATGATTGTATCACACATTTACTGAATCATATGAAATGTTGTAACATTGGCAACTTAGAGTTTCGGCTGATTGAACTTTTTGGATTTTGAAATCCGAGTGAGAGACCAGCCAGCCAAAAAGTGGCTTGTTCTTATTTTGTTATTACGTATTTAATTTACCGTTGGTAATAATTGAAAATAAAGGTTTTGTTGCCCTGAGGAAGATTATAAGGGAGTAAACATATATTGGGCTTGAATGGGTTATTTAATTCGCGAAAATGTGCAACTTTCATGGAGAGAAAGAGAGGATGTTCAGATCATTTTCGGATCATGCTCGCGTTAATCTGCGGAGCGTGTGGTTTAAAATTTTATATCTATTCTATAAACAAGAAAAGAGAGATTCACAGAAAAATATGTGAGTGTTTATGTGAGAGTATGAGTACTACTGTGCAAACTGATATTCTGCTTCCTAAATTTTGTTTTGTCTTCAATATATAGTGTAATCATACTAGAGTATGTGGAATGTTGAGAAAGTGTTAATATTTTTCTTATCAAGGATAATACGTCAATAGTATCAAAAGTATTTTACCATTGCACACTTTTGATACGTTTGACCGGAATAATTTTTTTTTTTTTTTATATAAATGAACGATTACGTCTCTCTCCAATATAATATTGACAAGTTAAAGTAATATTAAAGATACCTTAATGTTAAGGCAACACTCTTAATTATTAAGTATGTACCGTGCTGTATTGAGTAACGAGTACTCCATCGAGAAACGAACAAACGACTAACGATTCTATTGTAGAAATATCCCTCGATTTACTCTCTTTCTGTCTGTGAATATGAGTCACAGAAGTAAAAAAAGTTGCTGAAGAAGAAGAGGAAGAAAAGAAGAAATTTGTAATAGTGGGAAGTAGTTACAAGCTTACTTTCATTTAGATAATGTTTTAAAAAGTTATCTTGTTCGGAAAGTATTCCTGTAACTGAGGTTCTAGCTGGATAATTCTTCCGTATATAGTTTTAATAGCCGAGACTGTGCAGTAGCTATTTCACGTGCTGTTGCTTCAAGATTAAGTTTAATATTTTGTATACACTTTAAAGGACTTCATACTTCATCATGACCAACGTTCTTTGTACATGCATACACATACATACCGAGAGAAGTTGCCTCGAAACAGTCAGAAATACTTATTGATATCGGCAGTTGCTAAAGAACTATTGTTTCTATTCATATCGTTTAAGATTTTAGTTGTATTGTTCGTTCTATAGTTGCTAAACTCTTCACGTCCATGTTCTGCGAGCATTAGTTTCAAAAAAAAATGTTATAATCATACACCCTTAACAAATAATACTAGCGTGCGTTACACGTCCTCGTCGTGGAAGGTACTACCAGTCGTCCGGTCAGCTTTAAGTACGATTGCAATGATAAATTCAACTGAAATCTTAAAGCTTATTATATCTGAAGACGCGGATTATTGCTGCCTGGCGGACACTTTTGAAAATGGAAAAAGATATAACCAATAACCATCCTCGATTGAATGCGTGGTTAATTATTATTATTATTATGAAGGGGATAAATGAAAGTGTAAAAGTGCGTATCACCATGTGAGAATGAATGAGCGAGTAAGTTAATGAAATAACTAACGATATATGCACTTAAGTACTATCCGCTATGTGTATGTGGGTATATATATACACGTGCATTGGATGTATCGCAAAATGTATATACATATGCACATATACATGTCTGTATGTATAATAAAATTGTGACAGTAATTAAGGCATACCTTATTTCATAAATATTTGAGGAAATACATGAACGGTTTACTGCTCCTTTTATCTCTACAAATAAAAAAAATTGAAATATTGTACTATAAATTTCTGTTTCATTAAATGTTAATCTTGCTAATGATTTACGAGATTTGGCTGTTGTGTATAATATATATAGCAACAGTAAAAGTGTATGATGTTTGGTCAAGGTAGGTGGCGTACAACTCTACAAGACCATACCACTTTCTATTATTGTGATACCATCACTGTTTAGGGTGTACATACATACAAAACACTTATGTAAATATTTTTAGACCATATATTTGACAATTCTTAAAGGCATATATATATATACATGATTTTTTCTTCCGTATTGTTAATACTAAATAACATTGCGTTTATAAACGTAATGAACACTGAAAAAAAGAGCCTCCCAGCTGCGATGCGCCGGTCATCGCACTGTAGCCCATCGGAAATAAATAAACATTGCACAAGTGCAAATTACGAATTGCTAGATCTGCCCTGTACCTTTTTCACAGCGATATGTGACAAAATTCTGTATAAAAGCCTAGTTAATATACCGCGTTATTCAGAACATGTATAATTATCTCGTTTCATTTTTATAGAGCACAGGGTACAGCAACATAGTATAAAAAATTGCTATCATGAAACAATTAGAAAGATAGTCTCTCTTTTATGCACGACACATTGTGAGGATTCTGTGAGCATATATTTTATCACGAAATAAATAATGAAGCAATGCGGGTTCTTAATAATATAATAGAGTGTGAATTTTCCTAAGTTCTTGAGGTCCTACATTGACAGAGAAGGATTGTTCCGGGCCATTGTAGGGGATTTTTATTTCGGCGGCAAGTAATTTGCGTTCTTGCATTGCTGCCGCCATCTCGCGATTCGGATACACGGCGAAATTCGCTTCCGCTCTTCCACCTGGTGTGCGTTTGATAGCCTCGCGACGTACTTGAGCCTAACAAATATATTTTAAACATTCAGTAATTTACATTGCATTAATTTTTTCACTATTTATTTTTTATCTCCACTTACCACTAGCTCGTCAACTCGTTCTTTCAATTGCATAATGTTTCTTTGACGTTCCAATAAATAATGATAAGACGTTTCGGGCACTTTACGCCTTAAATCAGGAACTGCTGGATATACCAAAGTCTTTTCCACATCCTGAAATATAAATAAATATATTCATATGTATATATAGGAGAATATTTGGGTGTAGTAATAATTAATTACCTTGACGAGATCAGTAGTCTTCTTTCGCAATTCTTGAATTTTTGTATCCAGAGATTTAAGGTTTGTCGGCGATGGCAACGGTTCCAAACGATCTAACTTTTGACGCAAGACGGCGCACATTATCTTCTTCTTTTGCTGGTGCTCATTATTCAAAGCTTGCTTGAGAGCGTTTATCTCCTGTACATAATATTTGTTGTCCAAAGTACTCGTTATCGAAGTGCTTCCCATCATGCTGTCTGTGCCAGACACTGATATCGTTTTCTTGCCAATCGACTTCAGCTTTTCCTTCAGTTGTCCTTTCTCTGTTTCTAAGCTATCGATATCGGTTTGAAGATGATCCATTGTTTCTTCGAATTCTTTTTCCTATTAAGAAAAACATGAAGAAATCGATAAAGAAATATAAGGATACAATATACGATAATGGGAAAAGAAATACCTTGCGTTTTAATTGATTTTGCGCCTCTTCTAATTTTCTCTTCAACTTCTCGACATTCATTTCGTGTTCATGCTGTTGTGTCGCAAAACGCTTCTCGGCCAACTCCTTCCGCAGGGTCATTTCAGATAATTCTTCTTGCTTCTCTCGTAAAGCTAATCTCGACTCGCGTATGTCACTATCCCTTGCTTCGAGTTTCCTAATTTGAAAATATCAAAAAATTATCTCAAAAAATCTTGAAACGGTAATTACATAAAGCTAATGGAAATGTACGTACCTGCTGAGTATTTTCGTTTCTTCCGACTCCTTCCTAACAGAATTCGCTCTAGCCACAATTGGCGTTATTTGCTCGCTCTCCTTAGATTGCTGCTGACTTTGTGTTTGTCCGCTTATAGCTAATTCATTTTCACACTCGGCCATTTTCTGCGCCAGATTTGCCGCTAGTTGCTGTATTACCGTTAAACTAGCCTTGATAGTAGCTACGGGACCCAGATCTTCTGTATCGTATATTCTTTCGCTGGACGTTGCAGCCATCTCCTTCAATTTATCGGCCGGTAATCCCGTGTCTAAATCTAAAAAAAATTCATAAAAAATTGAATTTACTTCTAAAAATATTACAAAAATAGATTTTCCGAGAGTCTATCTAAAAAAAAACCTACCGCCATTTTCAGTAATAGCATGCAAGGCACTCTTCAATAGATACTGAAGTGTCTTCGTAATCTTCACACCGTGTTGATAACATGTAGAAAATTGTTCGTTGCAATCTTTATCTAATCCTAAATTGGCGCCTACAGAAAATGCTGGACCAGCGTGATCACGTGGTACTCGTCTTCTAGCTGATTTCAAATGCTGCTGGATTACCTCGCATGTCGTTTCAACATGTTGACAAAGTTTACCTTAAATATGAAGAATGTTATAGTAACATTTACACATAAGTTAATTTTAATTAACCAAATATTATGTACCTATATCAGCACCTTCTCCGTGTATTAATACTTTGATAGCTGCAGCATCAGTAGCTATGGCATCGCATGTATTGCCCAAAGTTCTCGTGCCATTCACGATTAAGCGTGCCTGATTGACAGCTATACTTTCGCCGAAAAGCACAGAGAACATTGTGGCGAAGTATCCGCAACACTTCTCGATCGCGTCCATCGGCAAATTCTCGTCCAATTGATCTCTCTTAGCCAGCTCTATCAGTGAATCCAAAGACTTTTCTTGCGCCGCCATTTCCGGATAAGCCGCTCCCGCTTTAAGTAACATTTCCGAATTGCATGAGTTTAAAGCTGACTCAAAGCAACCCAAGGTGGTTTGTAAAGCATACATATGCGAGCACAAACGAGATCTGAACGAATATTGCGCTACCGAGTGACCTCTCATTACAGAAGTTCTGTAATAAAAAAAATTGAATATACAAATGATCTAAATACAGCTTGCGCGAAAATAAGATTAGTAGTACCTGTCTATCTTTTCAATCGATCTGTACTTTTCTCGAACTTGCGAAATCAATATCTCCGTTTTTTGTGTCATCCTCGGTATTAATAAGAGCGTCAATATTGCATCATGATCTCCACCGCGAGTCAAAAATGCAGGAGGCATGAAAGACAGCAAATAGCACACATGGTTTCGCGCCTCCTCGGCGTCTAAGCGACGCAATTCAAGATCGACCGCTTTAGTTTGCGCTCGGGTCTCAGCAAATGTCTTCTGGAAGTCTAATATTTCCGCAAGTTGTTGGTCCGCACCTAAACCGTAAATGATATGAGAATTCATAAAAAAATAACTTAGTCAATAAAATTTTATATATTTCTATCCTATATTTTTTATGTTACCTCGAACGTTAGTTTTGGTTGATTCCGTTGACTGAACTCGTTGCTGCAACTGCAAACATTGTTCCTGTAACTGATGCGTAAGTTCACGGAACTTCGTAATAGTTAATTCACGATCCGCCAACGTCTCCAGCGCGGCGTCCCGATGTCGTTGGGCGTCGCGCGCTGCTCCAAGTGCAAGATCCAATTCCTCGCGAAGTTCCAGCTCTAATTCTTTGGACGATTCGGCCAGTTGGTCCGACATATCCTGAACAGATTTATAGTATATTATTCGTTATACATTATTGATTATATACATTTCTTGCAATACAAAGTATAGGGACTACGTACTTGCAGAGCTTCCAAATCTGCAACAGCCTCTTCCAATTCAGCCACTTTTTCTTCCAACGCCATTTTCCTCTCGCCTAATACCTCGACCATTTCTTCAGCTCCTAACGCTGCATCGACCTAAAAAAAAACGTTTAAGTATACAAATTAATTATCCCTTCTTAATTATCCCCCTTTCTTGTTGCCTTTCCACTACTTATTTTTTCCCCCTTCCTTAACATTTTATCCGCTTTACTTTCGTGCTGTTCATATATTTTGTGATAAATTGTGAACATCTAAGAGAAGAGAAATTTTTACCTTCGCACGTTTGAATTTTATTAATTGATGATTTGAAAACATAATTTTATGGCATATATATGTACATTCGCCGACTAAAAGGTTGCAACACTTTTTTAAATTAATTTCGGAATGCAGTCTGCTCACTGAGCGATTGGTTCTTACTTATGGATCCGTAAGTAAGGATCAATCGCTCGGTGAGTAGGCTGCATTCCGAAAACCATAGAAAAAAACTGTTGCAGCCTTTTAGTCGACGAATATACACCACCGACGATTGATAAGAACCCTTGCAATTGTTTTAGTTGCACAAACAGATATGACGATTAAAACTTTTTTCAATTAATTTACTGCTTCAATTCAACTATTTTATTAATTTATTCTAATCATTCAGGACTACATTCACAATTTGATTTTTTTTTTAATTAACGTCGATCCACCAAGGCACGTCGATGCGACTTAATTTTTATATATTTTATTTTTTAATAATTGACTATACGACTGCGAGGAGACATTAATTGGACGGAGGTATCTTTATCACTACACGCGAAGGAATATTGGAGGAATGACGAGAGAAGTAGATTCTTCATAATGTTAATTGTAGAAATCATTATAAATTATATTTAAACATGTTATTCGGTTCTTTTGTGTAATTTGTGACCTTTTTTATTTATATATTTTTATGTTAATGAGGATGACCTAATGTGAGGATCGAAACGTATAGCATTGTATTGAAATTATTGTAATATTAAAATTAATTTATTAGCACTTAACATCCTGCACAACATCGTAGCCTTTATCATTTAATTTGCTTCAAAATTTTGAGTCTAAGCATATTGATTTTTAGTTATTATATACAAATTAATGTTATTACAAATAATGTCATATAAATAATATGTACTTGTTCTTGTAGATCTGCTATCTGATGTTCCATTTCTTCGACCCGCGCCGACAACTTCTCTTTCGTGCGACCTAATTCCAAGATCTCAGATTTTTTTTGATCCATATCCTTTTGCAGTTTTTGGAATTCGTGTTTCTCGTGCGCCGATAAATCGCGCATTTTCACGAGCGTTTCACGCAACCTATTATTTTGTTGTTCCAATTGCTTTACTTCGTAGCTGGAAGTTCCCGTAATTGATCCACCGCCAGCTGCCTAATTTACGAAAATAATAATGTTTTTTATTTAAACATATACCTAATAAGAAAGATACAAAAACTTTATAAAAATTAAATGAAATATTATACCCGTTCAGACATTTCTGTGCGTAATATCTCTAGATCTAATGTTTGTTCCTCCAATTTTTCCTTAAGTTGCTCTAACTCGATTTGGAGAGTTTCAGCCTTCTCTTCTGCCATCTCTTTATCTAATGTAGCCATTTCTACTGTTTCTGCAAGATCAGACATTTCTTCTTGATATTGTTCCCTTGCCACATGAGCTTCTCTGGCTTCTTGTCGAGCTCGTTGAAGTTCTCTTTGAAGGCTTGCCTTTGATAACATAGAAATTAAAAGATTTATTTTTGAAAATTAAAAAGTAACCTCGTTAAATAAAGATCTTTACCGTATCTCCACCTATTATACAGGGTGTTTCCAAATTAAATGGCAAAACTTCGGGAGCGTGTAGAGGAGTAAAAAACTAAGAAAAAAAGTCCTATAGACATATGCTCGTTTTTGCTCTGTTTCAGAGAAAATCGAAAAAAAATGTTTACATTTCTTGCCATATCTAGCACCGACATATTTGATTACATTTTCCACTTTCTGTTATAAATTTGTCAGTCGCTCTTTGAAAGCCTTTAACAGTAGATGAATTTTGTCTTTTGCAATATGCCGCGTACGTATTCTAATAGTGAATATGCTGATATGGTTTTTGTATACTGTTTCTGCAACGGTAATGCTCTAAAGGCGGTGCGAGAATATGCGCGACGATTTCCAAACAGAAGAGTGCCAAACCGAAGAGTGTTTATGTTGACATTTAATAGATTGCGAGAGACTGGATCATTTTCAATTCGACAAGAAAACAACCGATTTCAAGCAGCGTTACGAAGAGATTTGCAGGTAGGGAATCGTATTTTACAACATTTTGACAATCATCCTGAGACCAGCGTTCGGAATGCGTCGGCTGTATTGGGAGTGTCACCACAAACAATTTGGCGAACTGTAAAAGGAGATAATCGCTATCTCTACCACATTTAAAAAGTGCAAAATTTATTACCTCAAGATCATTGGAACAGATTGAACTTTTGTAACTGGTACCTTGAGCAATGCCACAATGATATTTTATTTCCATCTAAAATAATGTGGTCAGATGAGGCAACATTTACCAGAGGTGGAATAATTAATCAAAGGAATTATCATATATGGGCTCAACAAAATCCCAGGTCTGTTAGAGAATACAAATTTCAGCATGAGTTTTCTGTTAATGTCTGGCTTGGAATTTGGAACGACGTTTTAGTGGGACCGTTTTTTTTACCTGCAAGATTAAATGGGGACCGTTTTCTAAATTTCTCGGAGAATGAATTTTCTGACTATTTAGAAAACATCCCATTACAACAACGTACTGAAATGTGGTTTCAATTAGATGGCTGCCCTGCTCATTACAGCAGAGTCGCTAGAACCTGGTTAGATAGAAAATTCCCACAACGATGGATTGGATGTGGAGGAGCAGTACATTGGGCAACTCGTTCACCCGACTTAACGCCATTAGATTTCTACGCATGGGGTACTCTGAAGCAAGAAGTTTATTCTTCGCCTATTCAATCAGAGCAACATTTGAGAAATCGTATAGTAGCTGCAGCGAACAGAATATCGCAAGAACAGTGCCTGGCTGCTACAAGAGCCGTGTTTGACAGATACAATGCTTGTATTGCTGCAAGAGGTGCACATTTCGAACAAAATCTTCATTAAAAAGTTTGTAAATAAAATAATTAAAATAATAAATTAAATTATATTTTTTTCTTTTTCCGTGATTTCCTGCGAAACAAAGCAAAAACGAGCATATGTCTATAGGACTTTTTTTCTTAGTTTTTAACTCCTCTACACGCTCCCGAAGTTTTGCCATTTAATTTGGAAACACCCTGTATATACTCACTTGACTTTCCATAACTTTGGCCTTAAATTCAAGAAGCTGTTCAACTTGAAGTTTCGTTTTTTCGAAATCTTTTATCCTTTCCTTGTCTTGCATTCGTTTTACACGCAACGTTTCTACTTTCTCAGTGAGATCACGTACCTACAATATTGTATATGTATGTACATCATAATTTTACACAACAAGGTAAAAAATTTTATACGAGGAAACAGTAAAAAAAAAAGATCGAAATTATTGTAAACGAAATTTACCTGAGATTTTAAATTATCGTTTTCTTGCACAAGTTGCAAGTGTGACAATTTTTCTTCTACTAAGTTTGCAGCCGCTGCTGAACCTGCCATGACTTGACCGGGTACGAATTGCGGTTTCAAAGTTTCTACAAAACCTGTCTGGATTACAAAAAGGGAAAAGAGTAAGATACATTTGCATTTTGTACCGTTGGGTGTTCTTTTTATTATCGCATAAAAGAATTATGTGTCGCCAAAGAGTTTCTTCAAAGTCCTCTGGACCTGTGTACCTGTGCTTGAAACGCATATACACACTAGGTATAACTAAACGGTATATGAATGGCGCAAACAAAGATAACGTAATTATTCTCAAAATGCGGCAATGAAAAAAACACCCCACATTTCCTATATATGAGAATCCGTATATGATGTTACGATAATGCCGTTGTTTCTGTATTTACAATCGGATATTATAAAATTAGTCTGTTTCATGGTGATAAATGAGAGATTAGTTGCAATAGCAAAACACCAACAAGCTACACCGAAACTTCTATTAGTACTAACGAATATATAGAGGAAGATCCAGTTGATGAGTTGAATCGTGTTATGTGATACATTTACACAGAATATAACTAAAGTCAGAGCATTGATCTATTAGGTCCTAACGACTTACGCATGTGTTAATTTGCATATCCCCGATAACTTTTGACAAATATAACTCTGAAAAAATTACTGATCAGGCAAAGCTACACCTCGAAGATATAAAACCCATCCGTGCTAAATGTTAGTATTATTATAAGCTTGTAACACAAACACGAGGGGAATTCAATTCCTAACTGTGGAAGGACGAGGCGATGCAGAACATACCTTTCCATTGTGTATCGTAAACTATCGAAGCATCATAGAACTCAGTTAATGAAGCTGATGTATAATTAAACATAATGATATGCAAAGAGTAAAACAAAATTAAAGGTCCTATTCTGTAATTTTTAACGATATTATTATTTTACAATTGTCATTAGTGAACAATTTTTCCTTTTCTATAAATGATAACTTATTCATTAATAAAAAAATAATAAAATTATTATAAACTCAACAACACCTCTCTTCAGGATACGCATTATGGAATTATTCGAAATGGATTTCGATCAGAATTATTCGATTATTAACTACATTTTTATTATATTTTCTAGGAAAAACAAAATAATTCCCCGATTGGAATCCATTCCAACTTATTCCATGAAGTGTCCGGCTGTAGTTGAATTTACAACAATTTCGTCGCTATTTTGTTATAGAATAAGAAAGTTTGTTACTAACGACAATAGTTCAATAATAACATTGTTAAGAAATATTGTTACGGAATATGACCCTAACACATTATTAATAAATTGATAATCCGCTAAGGATGAACGGACGTATCCGTTAAAAGTGCAATGACGCTATTTTTGTTATGAAAAATATGTGTTGATGCTTTATGATCGGCAAACAGCTAGTATGAGAAAGAACAAGATATTAGAGAGGTGATGTATTAAAAAAGTTAAGATATTACAATTAATGAGTATTAATTACATTATTTTGATCATCTTGGGCCTTTGGCTTTTTGCCGGGAGGCGAGCTCGTGCTAGGGGACTTCTGAAACACGTACGTGCATTCCCATATGAATCATTCTATGCCAATGGAATTCTCTGACTTGGTTTTACAAATTTACACTCCTTTTCTTTTAATTTTCGTCGTTAATTTCTACCTTTGTCCAAACACACTTTTCGGTCAAACGTGCACAATTATATTTAATTGGCCGAGTCACAGAATAGGATTCTTTACATATGAATGTAAGAAACATACAAATACTAAAAAAAAAAACCTATAGATTTTAAAATATCAGATCACCTGTTTGTTAGTCAAAAACGATGAAAATATATCATAAAAATACAGTAGCTAATTTGTTCACATAGGAATTATATCATTCATCATATGTACGTCATGCCTTAAATCTTCTGAATAACGTTTTTTTATAGATAATTGTTCTGCTCTTACTATTTAATTGATATAAATAGTAAGATATAGAAAATATATAATGTATATGCTATATATTGGTATAAAAGTAATTTATATACTAAAACATTACTAACAGTTTTTATAATTGTTATTACAACTTATAGTACATCTTACCTCAACAAATGAGGCACGCTTTGAAGTCGATGTTGGTGCTGGGATTAATGACTCGCCGCCGTCTCTACGTTCGTGCAATGATCCAGTTAGGCTTTCTGTACTTGGGGCACTTAATAATGTTCTGCTTCCAGATAAGGATAATCGAGAACTGTAAAAAATAACACGAAATAATTAACGATATTTAATAAATTATATATTTTTTTACAGTACCCTCCATAAGTTTGGGAACACCCTACGTTTTACAGGAAAGCCATTACATGACAGCGATCTATACATGTTTTTGGTTTAAATACTTCGTAAGACATCTAAATGACGATAAACATTTATCTAGAACACCTATAAGCTTGTATATACCGAAAATATGTTGGACAATTATTTCACAGCATCGAAGCGCTCAAGATTGAATCGCGCCTTGGTGTATTGTTTACATGTATATTGTCACTTGTTCTGTAACGTCGTACTTATGTTCGTTGTATATACACAGGTCATTTAATTGTAGTTTAACGATTTCTATAAAAGTGATAAACTATTTCAATTGTAAGTTGATTTCAGACTCCAAAAATTGTAAAATGGTCCCGAAGAATTAGATTTCGTATGAATCGCATTTTAATTAAAATTCCATATTTTTAATAGCATGTTATTAAATCTTTAATTGAAAAAAGACGAAATAAAAGTACATATATACATACATTATAGAAACGTACGTATGTATGTACTTTTATTTCGTCTTTTTTCAATTAAATAATTATTTACAAGCCTGTAAAACGTAGGGTGTTCCCAAACTTATGGAGGGTACTGTATATACATTTGCTGTGCTAAGCTGGCCGCAAAATCAATCGCGATGGAAACTCTAACTTAAACTTATATTATTTATGTTAAAATAAAGAAATGAAGAAATAAAGACCTGCACGTAAAATAATAAAAATCGCAATAAAAATATTGTAACAATATATTCGCATAATTATTATATATGTCCGTAAAAAGTTTTGACACGTTATGAAAAATATGAAAAAAATATAAATATCTTATAAAAATGCAAATTTAAATTAATAAATAAACTGTAGCTTGCAATATTTTTAGCAATGCAATTTTCGTGTCACGATAACAAGCGTAACAGAAATAATCACTAATTGTTTATTAATTGAAAATAAATACGCATATTGTAAAAGCTTCATAACAGGCATATTGGCAACTTGTTTGTGCTTTAAGCTTTACTTGTTTGTGCTGCGGAATGCTTTAGATGTTCAATAGTGGGAAATTGCAGTTGGCATTTTGACAGAGTAATTATGAGAGAATTGTGATTTTCTATAAGCAGTAAAGATAAAAAAATACACCTTGCTGACATAAATTCCGTTTGCTAAAATTTAGCTTGCAGTAATCTTACCCAGAAAGTTTGTCAGTTTGCTGGCGAGTAACATTCGCAGGAGATGTTTTTCTCCGTACACTTTTATGAGCAGCATATAATTATATTTAAGAATTTATTAATTACATACTCGCCTATTCGTCTATTTATTTATACAAGAAATGTCAGAAATTCTAAGAGAAAATAACGAAATGATATTTGTTTACATTTTGATATTATCACAAAATGGAAAACTTACGCTGTAGGCTCATTCCTTCGACGCATACTAATGCTAGCATGAAAATTGCAAAAATAAATAATTTCAAATATTCTTTCTTTTAAACAGAATATTTTTTGATACAAATCTGGAGACCCGGTAGAGTCTCGGCGCAAAACCAAGCGCATAAATTATACTCTGCTTAATTCTACTTTACATTTTAAAAGATGGTATATTACTCTAAAGGTATCAAAATACTCTACCGCATTTATATTTAATTGTAAGATTAGAATAATCTATTATTTGTAGTACGCTGATAATATTTACAATTTACGGCACTTGTTATAGAAAAAATTATATATCTTTTTTATAAGAATGTTTCTTTTTTAAATCTAACCAAGATTTTTCAATGCAATCTAACATTTAAATTTGACAACTTACCTATTTAATCGACTCCTGGCTCTAGCGGCGCTATCATCAGGTGTCGTGGCATTACTGCCTGCAGATGATGGGCTAACTGGCTCAGTTCTGTTGCCAGCCTCGTCCAACAGAATAAGTTGTGTTTGGCGTGCAAACATGCCATGATTCTCTGCACACTGCGACAATAAAAATAAACAACATAAATATACTTTTCTTTCTATCTTCATAAGTAAATAAAACTCTGAGTCTGTTTTTTGTGACTGAACTAGTGTATACTTTTGGAACTTAAAGTGAGATAGATATATGTTTAATATTTGAGGAAAGTGAGAAAGAGTTCTAGTACAGTCTAGTAGAATATATATGTATATAAGTATACACAAAAGTATACACTAGTTCAGCCACGTGCATGCATCCGATCGTAGAGATGTCGGATGTCATCTTGTGGAATGGCATTCCACGCCTGCTGCACCTGTACACGCATTATCACAGCCTTTCACAGTGATACTAACATAGAGGTGACTACAATGGGTATTAAGTCGGAATATACTTAATGTTTATATGGTGCTACACTCGTATCCTGCAAATTGTGACCTTGTAATAGATATCAATATAATTAAAAAAAAAACAGATTATAAAGACAAGTGACATAATTTGAAATTTTTTTGCTACAAGCAATTCTACCAGTCGAATCAATCGTCGATGTTAATGGGAGTTTAGTCGAGGTCACCCTCAAGTATCGGCATGTTTCTCTGATTTACCTTAAAGTACACCTGCCCCTTGACGCTGCCGTTGTTCTTTCCCTTCGGTTCGTCGAGTACCACGCCAATCCATTTGCCCGACGCAAACGCCGGATAACCGATGTAAGCAATCACGCCTTGGCATTCCTTCACGGGAACCTCGACGCGTTGTCCGATTTTGAATGACATCTCTGTATCCGTCAACCGAGACTCGCCCTAAACGAACGCATTAACCTGTACGCGCGATCCGCGCGATTTCCCTCGATTCCGTATCACTCGCCACTCTACACACAGAGTAATATTTGATTTGTGACAGGACAAATTGAGAGTGTCACGAATTTCTGGACCCTCAATAGAGCTCCAATGAATCTCTCCAAGAGTGTCCAAAAAGACAGGACGTGCCGTTTACGTCGAAGTATTGTCGATGTTATGCCACTCCGAAATCCGAAATTCGATATCACTAATCACAGTACGGCGCTGACACCGCTGACAGTAGTGACAGAACGACTGTGATAGTAGACTAGTGTGACGTCATGATGGTTGTGCACTCAGTGCACTGCCAGTGGAAAGGGAACATATAAGTAACATACCAATTTAGACCCAGTTTCACAACTGACGGTTAACTCTCAATCGAGGTGCAACTTATTCATTATCTCTTTTCAATTCTAGAAATAAATTGAACCTCGGTTAAGAGTTAACCGTGAGTTGTGAAACTGGGCCTTAATGGATATTCTTCAATCTTGGCAGCTCTTATTAGGATAAACACACATCACATTCATTTTTGACACTACGATTTTATCTGCAGTTTTACAAAATAGACGTGGCATGGACTGTTGCCAAGTCTGTTCAAAATAATTTTATATTGTGATTTTCTCAATATTTTAGCTGTAATTTGGGCTTTTTTTGTATTTTCCTCTTCAAAAGTCACCCGAAAATTCTCTTAAATTTTTTGTATCCCCAAAAAATCTTCCAGTAAGAAGAAAAAAACCTTCAAATCTGGTAGAAATTCTACTAAACAACACTAAAAATAATACATCATGCACATCATACGTGAAATAGAACACACCCTTAGATAGCCAATCAGACAACCATATTGAAAAATAATGGCGGTGACGACTAACCTAACCGATTCAACGACGCCTTTGATTCTCTAGGATCTCTAGGATTCCATTCCCGTAGTAGTATTTTGCTGGCAGAATTTGTTAATTTGTTTTCGTACGTACGTTCTTGCATTTTGATACAATTTAGAAAGAGTCGTCCATTATGACCCCTTATTACTCATACTTTCGCTCGCACTTATAATAATGCAGTAAGAGAGATTGTTTGAATTGTTCATTCAAGTTGTAGACGACAATGGCTAACCATTACGAGGTTCCAAACTGGTACGTTTCAAAGCTTCCTCATTTGCGATGTAACTTGATCATCCGAGTCTGTTTATTGTTTATGCAATCGCATGTTCCGAATTATTTGTCATTGCGCGGCAAAGGTGGCAATGTCCGGCGATACATTTCAATCGCTTTCTGATACACGTTCACTACCAGTGTTAAAAATTTAATATATGTAATGTAAACGATAGATTTTCATTATGCACTGGCAGTGTATATTGGAACACGGTTTTCGTGTATACACATTAATTAATAATCTCTTTCAGGGCTGGTAAGCCACCAGTGGGGTTGCATCTGGACGTGTTAAAGAATGACAAGTTGATACAGGTAGGGGCAATACAAGATACACATCAGCTATATCTTGAGTAACGTCATTCTCTTGGAATTCTATTGTTAGAGCACATTCAAAAACACTATTTGATTGTCTCCAAAGATATGTTCCATTTGATCTTCACAATGCTCATGGAAATCATGTTATCCTTGTTGTTTATCAAATGTTAAACAAAGATAAATAATATCTGCAAGTGTTGTAAGCAAATAGAATGTATCCTGAATATAATTTTATCCTTGTTTAACATTCGATGAATAAAGTGATATTTGTTAACATTCGGATAAACAAAGTATTTTTGAAATGTAATCTTACTCATGTGAATTGAAAGTCAATTATGTATCTCGAAACAAGGTGAAAATTACAGAAGTGAGCAAATTTATTAAGTGTTGATAAATAACATTATAAATATTCTAATAAATTCATTCATTTTTGTTATTTTTACTAAGTTGTATAATATATAATTGAATCCTTGTATGAACCAAGTGTCATATAGACCCTACTTTATTAGAAACTCATGGTGGATGAAAAGAAGTGTTATCTATTTGGCCGCAATCAACAGCTGAATGACTTCTGCATTGATCACGCATCTTGTTCTCGCGTTCATGCGGCTCTCGTTTATCACAAGCATCTGAATCGAGCATTTTTGGTTGATCTGGGAAGTAGTAAGTACAGAGCTTATACTGATGCTAAGATATAGGCTGTGTTTGATTTTGATACTTTTAGTGTTTTCAACACTTCCACCTGTATTTTACATCTACTAACTTAATAATAAAGACAGATTAATAATTTTAAAGCTCGTGATCAAATCAAACGCAGTCATACTCTTCTTTTAAGAAAGATTTTTAATTAAAATTGAATATCAAAGTTCTTCTCTTTTTTTCTTAATAGATTATAAAGTTGATGTTAACCCATTTTTATCCACTGTTGTATTTCTTAAATAGCATCTTTTTAATTTTTTCTTTATATATATACATACATATAAAATCCATATGTATAAAGAACTGAAGAAATACTCTATATACATATATAGAATATTTATATATAGAGAAAGAAATTAAAAAGATGCTATCGTTTAAATAGGAGGAGATGAAACGGGTTTAAGACAAATATTGTTTTAACATTTATAATATTTTTATTTATAAGATATTTATAAATTTATTCGAGACTTATATTTATAGAAAGTTTAATATATTCTTTTATAGAATTATATATGTTATGCATATTTTCAAACAAATGATGAGTCTAATAACTTTTTTTAGCACATGGAACCTTTATCGGAAATCTACGTTTAGAAGCACATAAACCGACTCAGTTACCAATTGACAGTACATTTCACTTTGGGGCATCTACTCGATATTACATAATAAGGGAAAGACCTCAAACTGGTGCTCGACCTATCATTGAAGAATTGGAGAAATTATCCGAAGATATGGACGCTGGTGGTTTGCTGGGATTGCCAGAAACAGAAACAGAATTAGATGTGTGTATCGAATATTTGATATATTATATTAAATTGTTAAAACATCTAAATTTTCTGCTGAATGTGACTCAGTCTATTGTAATTTTCAGAATTTAACAGAATTTAACACAGCTCATAATCGACGGATCTCTATGCTTGGCATAACAGATGACGAAATGCATAAACCAACGCGTAAACGAAAGAAGAAGGGAATCACCTTCAATGACGACGAAGAAGTAATCAATCCGGAAGATGTTGATCCCTCAGTCGGAAGATTTCGTAATCTTGTACAAACGACAGTTGTTCCTAGTAAGGTGCGGCATTTGCATGGTTCTCGGGAGAAATAATTGCATGATTACAAAATTGCTTGGATTAATATTAAATAACAACTAAATAATTATAACTAGCGGTAACTGTTTAATTTCATATTAAACAGTTAAGGAATATGTTTCGTAATTACAGAGAATGCGTATGGAAGGCGGTCTTATATCCTTGGCGGAAGATCACAATCTTCTGAAGCACATGCAACCCACGTCTACTACTCCGCAACTCTACCACGATTTACCTCCCGAGCAGTTTACGCCGTCTTCGATGTCTTCGATAAATCCATTTTCTACGGCTCTTACATCGCGGCTTGGCATCGCACTACCTAACCCAGCACCCGAGGTGGAAATGACGCCGAATCAGATACAGACCGAAGTGCAGCATGTGCAAGAGCACATACCAGGTACGACGGAGCCGCGAGTAATGGAACCGAAGAAGAAGAAATACGCCAAAGAGGCATGGCCTGGGAAAAAACCGATACCAACGCTGCTTGTATAATAGGACAAATTACTCATATGTATAATAACATGTACATTTTATATATAATATAGCTTAGTTCATATATATATATATACATATATATAAGTTTTATTTTCCGATAGAGCTGTACCTTCATCCAGGATTGTTCATACGCCACGTATGATTTACATACAATTTTTCGTCAGCTCTGTTATGTGTTATATCAACTAAGAAATGGAAGTTACAGTTACAAGTTACTTTTTTAGTAATTTTACTGGTAACTGCGTTCCTTTTTTTCTTTAGTAACTGTAATGATGACGAAGTTACCACTTACATTTTTTTGATAACGATAATGAATTTTACAGTTATATTTATCGTTACTTTGCACACCATTAGACACAAGCCATTCATAGTGCATGAGACTAGGAAGCCCTTAGGCTTGTCCGCTGTGATTGGTGGTCGTTGATTCTAAAAAACTAACGGAAAAGTAACGAAAAGTTACTTTCTCAAGTAACGGTAAATATAACGAGTTACTTTTAAAAATCAGTAACTCCTAACGGTAACTTGTTACTTTTTCTATTCAATAACGAGTAACTAACTTGTTATTTTTATAAAAAGTAACTTTCCATTCCCTGATATCAACTATATTAAATTTATTTTAGTTATCACTGAACCATATAGAATTATGAAATTTGGCCGATTATCATGATTTAATGTAAACGTTAATAGAACTCTAAAGAAATTTGAATCATTTGAAGAATGTGAATAAAGTATTGTAATCTACTAACGCAACAAATGCATTCAGTAGTTAACAATGATATTCAATCAAAGTTCTTAAAATTATACAACTTTACTTTTTTTTTAGGAACTTAATGAATGGTGACATTGGATGCACTTTATATTTGTCATGCATATATATATATATATATATATATACGTGTATGTGTGTAAGGTTTGTCTCCATGTTACATTTCTAGCGAATTCGATTGGACGCACTCGTTGTGCAGATTGAAGTTGTTATACAAATTGACGCAAAGATATGTGTGTAATATAAATAAAGAAACCAGTTAAATCGTAATATCTTCAACACACTTTGTTATGTTGTTAAATAAAATATATATTTTATAATTCGAAATATTTGCATTTCATTTTTACCCTCATTATCAGTATACAATATCTTTAATGTGCATCAGTGTATACTAGTGCGTCTAACCGAATATGCTATTGATTTATTTCTCTGCGATAACAAAAGTCAATAGAAATCAAATTTGTGTTTATCTTATTGAACGTTTTTGGTGACTCAGGCTGGGTTGTTCCACCTTTCGGTGAACTTCAGCTCATTGTCTTACTCTCTTACTCTTTTATACTCTTACTCTTTTATTCTTTTGTTTATCCAGTAAATTAATTACCATAGTTTATACGAAGATGAAACAGCCGACCCTACGAGTATGAAGTTACATGTAGTTTTAATATCGTGATTTTTAGTATTAATAACAAATTGCTATATTTATTGTTACATAATGTATTGCATTTTTTTAAACCTCGGCATAATTCCTTCTATGTACAATTACTATCGCTCCAAGTGCAATGAATACGATGTATCTATGAAGGAAATTTTATTGAAATACTTTTATAAATATTAATACCAAAAAAGAAACTAATAAAAAGACAAATATTGTATATATTACATAAGTATGTATTATTTTGAGTCAATAAATTTTTTAAGGTAAAGAATTATTTTCGTTTGTTTTTCTAGATATTTTTTTTGTCCCGAAGTAATGTCAATTAAGTGTGTCGGAATTTTCTTCCAGCTGACCGAAGAAATTAAAGGGATGCATGAGTTATCGAATTCGATGCATCGCATTCATTACCCAGGATGCCTACATGAAGGTTTCCTCCTATCTCGCATAAAAAAAAAGATGTATATATTTCGTTTCTAGATACTAAATGAAATATTAATTGTGAAGTAGATGCAATATTCGTATATTTTTATACTTGCTCTACAAGGAACTTTTACAAAAAATGCTTTTCTATAATATATTGTAACAATTATACTAGAATATAAACAAAATGTTTCTACACAAAATTTAACGTAAGAGCTGTGACATTTCTCTTATAATTTTTGTCTTGTTGTCGGGTAGCGAAAAAGAGAATGTACCGGCCTATTTCAAAAGATTCTTTAAAAATGCGTTAATATTCCAACGGTGTATCCGGTGTAGACGGCGATTCGAGGGCGACTTCCTCGTAATCCCTCTCAAGTGCTGCGAGATCCTCGCGCGCTTCCGCGAATTCGAGTTCTTCCATACCTTCTCCTACATACCAGTGAACAAATGCCCGCTTGTTGTACATTAGGTCGAATTTGCGATTAAGCTTAGCCCACGCTTCTTCTATAGCCGTCGTGTTAGATAGCATAGAGACAGCTCGTTGAACCTGCAAGTTATCCGTTTGATGTAGATATTAATATCAAATTATGATATAATTGTTACGTAATATCAATATTACGTAAGAAATTAATAATTATAACATAAACGACTGTTTATGGTAAATGTAATATATATGTATAATATGATTATATCACGTAATATCAGCGTTACATAATAAATGGCTAATTATTATATATACAATTGTTATGTAAAGCCGCGTATACACCTAGCGAATGAACAGCGAATGCAAAACTTTGTTGTTATTTGTTACATAAAAGTTGCACAAGTTTAATTGCTATGTGCAACGAACATCGAATCTGATCGAATGCTAATATTCGGTGCAATCAAGAAAAAGAATAAATTGCTCACAGACACGAACACGAATGTCCGAACATTTGCGTTCAGTGTTCGTTCGCTAGGTGTATACGCGACTTTAAAAAATTGTCAATTAGAAATTCTGTTATGTAATTATTATAATTATTATATGTAAGAAAATATAAATTAAAATTCCTATTATGTATAATTTGAATTTAAATCAAGCATTAATATTAATTTTAAAATCAATTTTTTTAAATATAATTTTCGTTAGAAAATCTCGATAGAACTCTCTATACTTATAATTTTATGTGTAATTAAAAAATATATAATGTTTTCCATATTATATCTTTTGAAGACATAAAATTATTCAAGAGATTTCTATTTTGAATTTCAGTATTAAATAATTTATAGATTGTCTAAAAGATGTTTAAATTATCAAATTTTCATTTTGATAAAAAAAAATTAACATTAAAATAAGACTTTTAAGAGAAGATTTATCGACAATACCTTTGCAAGATCACCGCCTGGCACAGCCGTGGGCGGTTGATAATTGATTCCAACTTTGAAACCTGTGGGACACCAGTCGACAAAACGGATATAACTCTTTCCTTTCATAGCAGCGATCGCGGCATTGACGTCTTTCGGCACGACGTCCCCACGGTACAGGAGGCAGCAAGCCATATACTTGCCCTCGCGTGGATCGCACTTAACCATCTGATTTGCGGCCTCGAAGCACTCGGAGGTGATCTCTGCGACTGATATGCCTTCGTGGTAAGCCTTTTCGGCGGATACCACTGGGGCATAGGTTGCCAGGGGAAAATGTATGCGGGGGTAGGGCACAAGATTCGTCTGAAATTCGGTCAAGTCGACGTTCAGAGCGCCGTCGAATCTCAAAGATGCTGTGATCGATGACACCACTTGGCTGATCAGCCGGTTCAGATTTGCGTACAAAGGTCGCTCGATGCCGAGCTTGCGCCGACAAATATCATAAATCGCTTCGTTGTCCACCATAAACGCGCAATCAGAGTGACTGATTGTCGTGTGTGTTGTTAATATCGCATTGTAAGGCTCCACCACAGCGGTAGATACCTGAAAATAACCGAGTGTATTTTTTTAACAGGAATTATTACTATTTGGAATTATTACTATCTTTATTTTCCAAGATCATGTATTTCCAGATCTCGTAACTTATAGATAGATTCATTTTAAAATTTATTTTACTATATTTTTATCTTTATATATTAGTCTTGGTTCCACTAATTAACTCTCGATTTAATTTATTCTTTATCTTTTTCTAATTTTTAGAACTAGAGAGAAAAAGATAACAATAAGTTAAATTGAGACTAAAGTTAATCTTACATTGCTAAAACCAGGCCTTAATCTTGATCACTGTAAATACTTACCTAGAAATTTAAGAAAGAAAAAAATTATTTTTCAGTTCGCGTTATCTCTCATAAGATGAGACAGAAAGAATTAATTAATTCGCTAAGTGATATCGCTTATTTTTATCTTTATTAATCTTGATCACTATACTTTATTACTGTAAAATACTTATTTAGAAATTTAATTAAAAAAAAGATTTTATTCTTTAATTTATTTTAATCTCATCGTTTCTCACAAAATGAAGTTAATTAATAGATTCTCCTGCAGAAATGTCTAAATCGGTCTCATTTTTCTGAACTCACTTGTGGTGCCGGATATATGACAAATTCCAATTTACTCTTCTTGCCGTAATCATCGGACAGCTTTTCCATAAGCAGAGAAGTGAAACCCGACCCCGTGCCACCTCCAAATGAATGAAAAACAAAGAAACCTTGTAGACCAGTGCATTGATCGGTCAGTCTGCGTACTCGGTCCATCACGGACTCGATAATCTCACTCCCGATGGAATAATGACCGCGAGCATAATTATTGGCAGCATCTTCTTTGCCAGTAATTAATTGTTCTGGATGATACAATTGTTTGTACGTTCCCATCCGAATTTCATCTGTGGGAATAATAATTTTCAAGCCATAGATATTTTGTGCCAAAACGATTATATAAGATGTTTATATAATAATAATATTATTATTATTATAAATAATTAAAATATTATTATAAATAATTAAAATATTATTATTATTAATAAATGATTTTCTCTGTGATAAATTATAATAAGCTGACCGACGACAGTCGGCTCGAGATCAATCATCACAGCACGCGGTACCATCTTGCCGGAGCTCGTCTCGTTGAAGAAGGTGTTGAAGCAATCATTCGAACCGGATACCTTGTCAGACGGCATGGTTCCGTCCGGCTGGATGCCATGTTCCAGACAATATAACTCC